ACCCTCACCCTCCCCTGCAATAGGCTGACCTCAGGACCCTCACCCTCCCCTGCAATAAGCTGACCTCAGGACATACAGCCCTCCCCTTCCCCACACTGACTCACATGAGGACCCTCACCCAAACCGCTCTCCCCCCAACAGGCTTACGTCAGGACCCTCACTCTCAACCCCGCAATGGGCTGACCTCAGGACCTCCCACACGGACTGACATCAGGACGCCCAGACCCCACAGAGTTTGAGCTCAGGACCCCACCTCAACCTGGGTAACTTAGGACCAGACAGAGAGATTCCACCCCTCGACCCCCTGCGGTCCCACCACACCCCGCTGTCCCCAGAAACCCATCGACCATCATTCTGTTAGAGTGGGCCGTTATTAGGACAGCGAGACTGGGATGTGGGGGAGGGTGAATGTTGGGAGTTAACATTCACTGCATCACTGTAGGGGCCTGGAGTCACGTGGATGTGGATTTCCATTCCCCCATTATTAAACCCCCATTAACCCCCCTCCCCTCTGCATGGAGTTTTTAACCCAAACCAGAATTTCCGACGCACCATTCCAATCCCTGCATTGTCAACGTATCTAACCCCGTGCTGTCCCTGTCCTGGGAGTGTTTGATGGGGGGGACAGTGTAGAGGGAGCTTTACTCTGTATCTAATCCTGTGCTGTCCCTGTCCTGGGAGTGTTTGATGGGGGGACAGTGTAGAGGGAGCTTTACTCTGTATCTAACCCCGTGCTGTCCCTGTCCCTGGGAGTGTTTGATGGGGAGGACAATGTAGAGAGAGCTTTACTCTGTATCTAACCCCATGCTGTCCCTGTCTTGAGAGTGTTTGATGGGGGACAGTGTAGAGGGAGCTTTACTCTGTATCTAACCCCATGCTGTCCCTGTCCTGACCCGTGGCTCCCTGTGTGTTTATAGAGAATGATGAGAAGCCCTGTGCTGAGGAGACATGGGATCCAGGAATGTATCCTGCTGGTCACGCAGAGAATCACAAAATATCCCGTTCTCATTGATCGGATTCTGCACAACACCAAAGGTAGGAATCACCGCGTCGGAACGATAGAGCCTCCTGAGGGCCAGGCTCACGTTAGGGGTCATTGTCCAAGCAGGACTTAGAGACAGGCCTCAGGCCCCCAGGGTCTGAGCAAGGCTTGGGGTCAGTGTCTGAGCAAGGCCCCGGGGTCAGGGTCTGAGCAAGGCCCCGGTGTCAGGGTCTGAGCAAGGCCAGGGGTCAGGGTCTGAGTAAGGTCAGGAGTCAGGGTCTGAGCTAGGCCCTGGCGTCAGGGTCTGAGCTAGGCCCCACGGTCAGGGTCTGAGCAAGGCCCCGGGGTCAGGGTCTGAGCAAGGCCCCGGGGTCAGGGTCTGAGTTAGACCCAGGGTCAGGGTCTGAGTAAGGCCCCGGGGTCAAGGTCTGAGTTTGGCCCAGTGTCTGCGTAAGGCCCAGGGTCAGGGTCTGAGTATGGCCCCAGGGTCGGGGTCTGAGTAAGGCCCTGGGGTCAGGGTCTGAGTTAGGCCCAGGGTCAGAGTCTGAGTTGGGCCTGGGGTCAGGGTCTGAGTAAGGCCCCGGGGTCAGGGTCTGAGTAAGGCCCCGGCATCAGGGT